TGCAAGAGGCAAGTAGCCACTGGGACTATTTTGCTCCCACATCTCTGCTGCTGGTAATTCTCTCCTGGAGTCCCTGGCTTAAATTCTGAGAAGGCAATGCTTTATTCTCTTTTACTCCCCGCCCCCCCATCCTTTCTTCCTCTTTAAAGTGACTGCCGGACAACTACAGCTTCAACTCCTCTCAACCTGTGAGAAGCTGCTTCCTCTGGCCAGCAGCAGCTTGTCCTGATGAGTAACAAGCAGAGGTGGGAAGGCCAGTCCTTCACCATGAAGATCTTGCTTGAGCAGGTTCCCCCAGACAGGGGATTCATTCCCACGCCACGCAGTGACTAGAAGTCTGGAAGCCACTAATATTCTCTTTACCTTTTTCTGATTTTCTGAGCTCTCTTCTGCTGTTTGGTTGGATTGTGTCCATTACTATGTAGATGCACCTTGGAGGGCTCCTGGGTATGCTTTGTTTCTGATTTTCTAAGCCCGCTTCTGCTGTTCTGCATAGGTGCACCCTGGAGGGCTCCTGACTATGCTTTGCTTCTCTGATTTAAATCTAGTTGGTACTTTTCTTCTTTGTGTGGACAACAGTGGGTACAACTGTTTTTATCAATTACTACTGTGTCAGTGGAATAGGTTGGCCCTGCCAATTGGGAATAAGATAAACTGGACCCTACTGCTCTTCTTTTCTCTTTGTTTGCTTAGTTAGACATTTAGTTGAGCACCGATAATCTGAATAAACCTTCCAATCTTTGCACAAAATTGGTGCAATGACTAACTGATAAACCAGCTTCTAATTATAGCTAAATCACATACTTTCTTCTGGAAGTACTGACTAGGGAAATATCTGGTTAGAGATAATATCTGTCAAATAATCATATCTGCATTTGGTTAATGTAACCACCTCTCTGCAAGTAGTTTTGCATTCTACCTCATAAAAGCCTGTTTAATATAGGTATTTTCTGTACACACTAGGCCAAAACCAGTGTCACCCTTTCTAGCAACAGTTTTAAATGTCAATCTGTCAATCTAGCAATCAAACTATTCAACTCCAGAAAACTGTGCCTACTCAGTTTATTCACTTTATTTAGTTAACTCTTTATTAATTAGTTTTTCTTACACTTCTGTATTAAGAAAACACAAAACAAAATACCGTATTCTGCTGCATTGCTAATAAGGCTAAGGAAAGTAACAAAAGCATTAATCTTTCTGGTTAATAAAGATTGCCAGGAAGGTTCTTCTAGATCACCAGAAGAAGAGGAATAATCTCAAGATATCCCCTTGCACAGTTGAGAGCAGCATCTCTTCTTTTACAGCTTTTACTCCTGAAACTTCTATGTACTAGCTTCAATTGCTTGACCTCCCCTCCTTGTACTGAAGGCTTTAGGGATGCTCGAGTCTCAGTATCTCCTGAATGGACATACTAAGGACCCTCGCCATCTGGTCTTCAGAGAGTGCCACACAGAATCACCCGTTAAAGTGTGCCAGGATCTCACAATTCCAGAAAAGGAATTTTCTTTTTCTTTCTTT